AAACATATCCAAGAAGGTGGCAAAAAAAAAAATCCTAAACATTACCTTTTTGCCAAATGAACAGTAATAAACTAAGTCGACATTTTATTAGAACATCATGTGTGAAAAGTAAAACCATCATTAAAATATTTTGTTGAAAGGTATAAACAGATCACTTGGATATTTAAATGGTAACCTTCATTAACACAATACAATTTATAGCTAGCATAAAAAGATTCTTACTTTCTCAATTAAGAATGTCATATTTTGAAATATTTCACGTATTGGTGATGGTTACCACGGTAACTGGAGGGCAGAGTTTGCCTCCAACCCAACCCGGAACAGACGTGGAATTCAGGCTCCTCAGGCTGTGAAACCACCCTTGCACCAATGAGGGCCACAAACCCATAACCCTCCACCAAATAAGGACCGAGGTGACCCCTGTTTCAACTTCCGTGTCAAGGGGAGTTTAAAAGGCCCCTGCATGTCTCTTCCTGCTACTCTTCTTCCTCTGTATCCCTCTCCTTCACATCTGTCAGTTGCACAGGGAAGGGAAGCCCATGACTGTGGTTCCTCGAAATAAAGGCCATCTAAATTTTAATATATTCGGCTGAGTCATTCTTTCCCTGGTGGTTGGCAAATCTAACAATTGGGTAGTTGAGTACCTCTTATCAGAAATAGAGTATTTTTCTCAAATCTTAAGAAACTAGAGTTTTTTCTCCTATAAACTTTGTATGTTCCCCTATTTCTGTATCCTTATAAAATAACTTTGTACAATGTCATTTTTTTAGTCAATTTTTACGGAATCAGAAGCATCCAATAAGAGGTAGGCATTAGGGCATGCAGGTTAAGCTCCCCTTGGCACATCAGCATCCCTTATGGGAAAGCCTGGGATCAAGTCCTGTCTCCATTTCTGATCCAGTGTCCTGGCAACGTGCCTAGAAGGCTGCTGCTGGCTCAGGTACTTGGGCCCCAGACACCTGTGTAGCAAATGGAGATTGAGTTCCTGACTCCTGACTTAGGTAAACCAGTAGATGGAAGATTCTCATTCTGTGTGTGTGTGTGTGTGTGTGTGTGTAAATACTTTTTTTTTTTTTTTTAAGAAAGCACAGCTCTCCTATTTTATCCAGTGTAACCCAAACACCTTTGTTCTCCACTTCTCCAGGCCTTAGAGCTTTGCAGTCTTGGTCTCTGGTCAGCACCCTAACACTTTACTCTGGTTGTGTTCTGCTGAAAACATCCACAATTGTTGTTTTACATGTTTTCTAAAGCTTATACACATGTGGTCACTGGTCTTGTGCATCTTTACAGGGGCATGCTGGGTTACTACCCACATGAATATCTGTATTTGGGTGATCCTTCTTTCCAGGGTGGAGTCTTAAATGGTTATTGTTTCATTTCACTTATACACACATTTATTCTGGAAGGGTCATAATTAAAGAAATGAAAAACTCAACCGATCTTTCCTTTTCCGTTCTTTCCTAGTTTGTCAGGCATTGAATGCCATACATTCTGGGAGTGTCTCTCCATAATCAGTTGCTTGTACAATTGTAATGGAGAGGTAGTGTTTATTTTCCCACAGTAAAAGTATCATAGAACCATCAATTGTGACCATTAGGAGGAAGTTATAAGTGGTATAACAAAATTCGGAATGGAGTTCTTAGTATTGTCATAATATTTGATAAGCAAGTTAGTCAAAATGTCAAAGGTGAATAAATGAAAGCATCAGTTTATGTATACATTTCAGATAAGGAGTTTGAAATGTTGGCCTGTAGATAACTTTTGATCTGCTGAGTATGTATTTTAGAGTGTACGGAATTACCTATTACACCACAACTAAAATGTTCACAATCCCTTTTTCTAGATGAAAGAAGCAGATGAGAGCACAGGACCTGGAGACGGGCAAGTAAAATCAGTACGCAAAAGAAGAGTTCGAAAGGACTAGCTCAGGTCAAGTGTCTGCAGTTGCCAACACAGAGCTCTGGCCTTCGGAAATCAGTGTGCCACAGCTGACCTCGCACTGTTCTCAACATCCCTTTTGTACTATCTAGCAATGTTATTCTTTGTGATATTTTAGTCTTTCCAGGGGGGAAAAATAACAGTAACTTTTAAGTTACCTGGCCTATGCAAATAGAATAAAAGCAGCATGTTACACTGCAGTTAAAAGTTTTAATAGTTTGGAGATAGTTTTAGTTTGTACACAGCAAAACAATATGTAGCAGTTTTACTGCTAGTGAAAGCATCAGTTATTGGAATTTCCACTGAAATGTCTATACCGCAATATAATTGGTCATTCGATAATAATTTTTTAAAAGTGTGTTCTGTTGTACAGAGCTACATTGCAATAAACTCTTTTGTATAGTTGCGTGATTCTGTCAACAACTGGAAGTGTTGTGAGTGACCGCATTTCTTTGGTTTGTGTCAAATTATGATCCAGTCACTTAAGATTCCTTTGAAGTGCTTTGCTGACAAGGGGACAAAACAGACCTTTAAGTGTCATTCCCAAAAATCACTGACTAATATTGCAACATATCTTACATTTAAATACAAAAACTATAGTCTTTGCAAAAATAGTGTACAGATTTTTCACTTCAAGCTTTATAGAGCAGCTTACTCCAGTCATAAAATTGCTTGTGAGTACATTGATTTTGAGAATACAGTTTAAATATATCTTCTTTTTAAAAAATTATTCTTGGGGAGGCTGAAGTGTTTTACTGTTAAGAGGGTCTGCTGGCTGATACCAATTCATCATACTTTGCATTTTCATCTTCCTTTTTCTCTAACCACTTCTATCTTGAGTCTGTTACCTGACTTAGTGTCCTCACACGTGGACAGGATCAACTATTCCTGAGTCTCTCTTTCTAAAGCAGTTGCCACAAGTCATTGAACCACATTAGAGTATTGTTTCATTTCAAATATTTAAGATCCTCTGTGCCTGAGAAATGGATGTAGAGATTTGGAAATCTCAGATTTTTAAAAGAACAGAACTATTTTGCTACTAAGTGTCTACATTCCTTCACGTACACATCTCCTGTCTGGGCAAGCCCCATCCAAGTGGGTACATTTAGAATTTGTCTATAAGGAAAAATTGGTTTCTGGCTTGTGCTTTTTACTAAAGGAAGCCAACAATAGCCAATACTACCGTTTGCTCCTTATCTCAGAGAGTGAAACAGAATAAAAATAAGTGCTTTACTCCACTGCTGTGTTCTGAACTACAATAAATTGGTGGTGGACAACCTTACTACATAGTTAGCCCTCCTGTGCATTTTCTTAAATATTAACACATCTTGCAGGGCACCTTATTTTGCCTTACATTTGGAAATCCAAGGGAATTACACTGAATTACAGTGAATAAGAATGCCTCTGAAAGTGAACTGCTATGTTAGGAGATAAAGCCTTCCTTGATTTTGTGCAAATGGACATGTCTGCCAGCTGTCTTGTATGTAAATAGCTTTCCTGAAGATTAATGAAAACTACTTATACTTTCTTGCTTGTAAATGAATTTTTAAAATTTCATTAAATCTCATGAGCTTGCAATGATACAATTTGAACAACCAACACACTTGCAAACATTCTGTTTTTGCAAAGTTGCTGCTAGCACTTGTGTATGTACCTTGTAAATGTACCATGGCTCATAAGCTGAGCAAAAATTTTAAATTCTCATGAATAACAGATTTGTATAGTAGACAGAACAGCCTCTTAAAAACCAGGTGGTTTTTACTTTTACTACATTAATCTGACTTTATTGTTTACAATGACTTATATGTTACTGTTTCTCTAATAAAGCAGTAAAATAAGCATAGTTTGCTTTTCTTTATTTCAGCGTGCTTCTTCAGAGTTTTTCCTAACTTGACCAGGCTAGAAGTCACTCCATTTTCTATATTTAGATAGTCTGGCTTCCACCGATCATTCCTTCAGGAAGATGACATGTGTGTAGAACTAGTGGTCTTCCTGAAGGGTCAGTCCATGCGTGGAAGACACAGGATGGAACTGCTAACATGTTAAAATAAACCATTAGCAATCTACATGTAACATACCATAAAAACTAGAATTCCAATCCAGAAGTGTTTTGGTATTCAGTGAAACTTTCCAAAGAGTAAAACATAAATATATTGCACTCTAAGCATCTATAATCAGAATTTTGGTTCTCTTTCCCATTTTGACTAGATGTTTTAACTTCCATCTAGCAGGACCTAGATGGATGATTTATTGAAACATGATGGTAGTCTACATAAATTTTAGTAATGTCATCCCAGAGTATAGACTTCCCATAAATTTCCACAGTGTGGCAGCTGTGAGAGCTGGAGTTTTAAAACTACCGCTGATCTCAGCCCAGATGAGGTAAGTTTGATGGAGAGGCCGTCCATTGCACACCAGATACGTGGGAGAGGGAGGGTGATTTTGGAGAAGACAAGCAAGGGGAGTGACAAGTGTTGTCACATAACATGTTGTCTTCTCACAGGTTTGTAAAGTGAGTACAATACACATTCTTTGTAAAACGTGGGGATATTTCCAACTGAGACTAAATACATGACAAGCCACTGTTAATATAATGATGAATACATTATACAGTTGATTACAATGTATTATTATAGCTCTGTCATCACTGTTACATTGATTAAAGCTGAAAAATCCTAAAATAAATCTTTATTTTAGAAAACCTGTCTTTTGCATGTGCTTAGGGCCTGCATCCCCTTTTAGAGCACCTGGTTTGGATTCCTAGCTCCACTTCCAATCCAACTTCCTGAGACACCCTTGGGAGACAGAAAGTGATGATTCAAGTTTTGGGGCTCCTGACACCCACAGGGGAGGCCTAGATTGAATTCTGAGCTGCTGGCCTCATTGCTGGCTGTTATACGCATTTAGCAAGTGAACCAGCAGATAGAAATTTTTCTCAATCTCCCTTCCCCCAACCATACCTCCACTGTGTTTCACATAAAATGAAACAGTGAACAGGTCACATAGCTAAGGCAATTCATCATCTTCTGCATCTTAAAGCAACTGTACCAAAACACACAATCTCTGAAACAGCTTTTTATTAAACACAAAGCAGAACTGCAACACAATTTAAATATCTGCCATTAGTTCACAAAAGGGATGCAAAATGTATGCAATACTCATACAGCTGATGTTATTCATCAAATCTTACACTAACATACAGGATTATTCCATGATTAACAAAATCTAATAATCCTAAACTATATTAGTTGATCTCTTTTCCTAAAACATTTTATTACTTCTGACATTATTCCCTTACCAAACAATCTACAAACTAAATTTAAAAAAAAATTGTTAAATGATAATGACTCCTGTAAACCAAGTTAAGCTTACAAAAAACTCTGGGAGAACAAGTAGGATGAAACATGGAGCAAGGTCATCAGTTAGCAAACACACGAAAGTCTCCCTTTGTATTCATGATTATGATACTAACGCACTCAAGGAATTTTGTGGTTGATCTGCTGGGTACTACCAATAAACCTTCAGACCAAACTCTGTGTAACTGTTCTCTTCCAGTGGTAGCTTATATAAGGTTAAACAATCCATCTTCATATACAGTCCCAAAAATATCTACTCTGTAACAGACATAGCACAGATCGGGGGTGAAAACATTTGGAGTTGTTTCACTACTGTTTACGTAGTGTTTTTACACCCTATTTTATTTTTCCTCAAGATTTTCTATTTTTAACCACATATGACTAGAATTCCTATCTTTATACAGATACCAACTGGACTATCTTGTACAAAAGGAAATTTTAGTAATTTTGACAATTCACTTTCAAAGAAAAAAAATTTTTTTTAAAGCCTCCATCTGTTTTGAATTAAGAGAAACCAGTAATCCTATCTTTTTACTAAATGTCACAAATGACAAGCCCTAGCTGAGAAAGTACTGTGTTTTGGTTAAGTTTCAACAGTTAGGATTCAGATTACTGTCATACATGATTAACAAAATTACTTTCTACAGATGTGAAACTTTTCTTTGGGAAAGGGAGTGGGAAGGAAGAGGCACAACATGGTGGACAGGGACATAAAGCTGTGCATTCAAGACATGGTTTTGGTCACTTCTTCACAACATGGCGAGTCTTTCTTGTTTATCTCACTAAGCCTATAATACAAGACAGCACTAAGCCTATAAATCAAGGTAAATTTGATAAAACATTCATCCTTAAGTGTCATAAATATATGCAATTCTAATTATAAAGTCTCTACAATACATGTGCACATTTTCATAGACTAACATAATACACAAACTTGTGGAAATCTTGAGTTAAGTAGTTAATTTGCCTATAGCTGACATTATCTTCATAAATAGTGAATCCATGAATAAAAGTACTGTAACTTTTGGAATCTATTGGAGTTTTAAAGAAAAAATCAGCAGCAATTCCATGAAACAGAAGGGATGAATCCCCTACTTTCTTTTGCTTTTTGTATCAGTTGTTTGAAAAACACTAGAAGCTGACATGAGGTTTTCTATATATTGTCCAAGAACTTGGTTTTCTGATTTTAGCTTCAGATTTTCTTCCTTAACTGCATCTACTCTTGCAGAGAGATCTATGTAAAAAAAAAAAAAAACATTATCAATAAACTGATGACAACATCTACATATTACAAAACAAACTTCTTCAGTCCTTAAATTTTCTGTTTTCAGATTACTGAGGTAAAGTAAAAAGCAAATGCAGTGTGACTCCATTTACAGTAATTCTTAGATTCTATATTAAGGCAAAAATTCTTTGTAAACAGCATTTGTGTCAAGCATTTTCAAATGCTTATTTAAAAAAAACAAATACTTTATTTTTAAAACATAAATTCTGGTTCATGTCACCATACAACCATAGTTTGCCAGCAATGTTTAAGAGATGTATTGGGTTTTATTAAATATTAAGAAAAATCATATGTATAAAAAAGCATCAAAACTACAAAAAGTAAAATAATAATAATAAATAAATAAAAAGAGAGAGATGTATTGGGTTAACACAACTGAGTTCATAAACTAGATATAAACAGTTTCCAAGGAATTGATCATTTTGTATCTGTGCATTAGTATGAAATTCAAAAGAAGCAGTTCCAGATGATCAAGTAAAAACTCCTATTGATTTATTTAATTAATATGTATTAGATGTCCTCAAGGCAATGGGAAGCAAACAAACAAAAAAAGGTTTATATGGACATGTGTGCAGGTAGGGAGGCAATGCAAACATTACATAAGCAAATATACAGCATCTAGGTGGGTCTAGAGCAATGAGAAGGTTGAGCTCTTTTCAGGGTAACTATTTGATGGGAGAAATATGACTAGAGACTTCAAAGAAGTGAGAGTATGAGCCATATCTATGCAGTTAAGGGAGGAAAATCCAAGCAGAGGACAAGAGCAACTGCCAAGGCCTGGAGTGGAAGTATGCTTGGCAAGCCAAAAGAATGGCAGAGAGGCAGGACAGCCGGAGGCTGCTTGTATGAGGCAGTGTGGAACACGCAGCTAGTGGCTTTTATTAACTCCATAAACAGGAAGTCCACTGAAGGTCATATGGGACATGATATTTTATCTGATGTAAAAACAATCATAAAAATATGACTATGTAATTAACTGAAAGATACTTGGAGATAGTATTAATTTTCACAAGACATTTTAAAAATGGGGGAAAAATAACAGATCAACTCCCTTTTAGTCTCTGAGGTTAATACATTGTTTCTTTGGGGTTTTTTTTTTTTACTTTATTTTTTTTTTATTTGGAAAGTAAAATTCGGATTTAGTATAAGTATACCCCAAATACTGCATATTTTTTAACTCTAAGCTTTATTGGAATACTGGTAGTAACACTGCAGGGACTTCAAAAGAGAGCTGACACAGAAGAACATTATGTCAGCCCGGGAGACCTTTGGACTTTCTTTGTAAAACACGTTATCAGTTCTTCAAAGCACCAGCCAAAGCTTCAAGCCACAGGAGGCAGGAAAACAACACCTAATACAAGGTAACCTGAAGTTTATACAAATATGCTGTAGAAGTATACACACTAACAAACACAATTTAGCAACATAAATGCTTATAATTCCGATTAACTGGATGCCATTCAAGAAAATATAAGCTAACCTTCAAGTGTGTGTTGGAGTTCCAACACTTGATTAATAAGTCGTGTTTTTTCCTCCAGTTCCACCTGATTTTCAGCATCAACTGCTGTAATGAAAAGGTTCAAATTTACTATTAACAGGATTATCATTCATGTTGAGTAGTACTTAAAACTGCAAACACTTTACATGTATTACCCAACTTGACACATACAGAGCCCTGACTTTTACTGTAATGTTCTATCCGTATCCTGCAATGAGGACATGAAAGTGAAGGCAAATGACCTGTCAACATCACTCAGTTAAGGTATGGAAGCTGCCTTAGATCCTTTCTAAAACTGGATGGGATATAGGTAAGTAAAGGAGCCAGCCCCAAGTCTTTAAACACTAGCCCTCCTCTTTCTATTGCTTCATAAGCAGAGACATCATAACCCCAGTAGCACTACAAAAAAGGAGAAGATCTTACCATCCATGTCAGCATTCATCATCTTGGATAACAAACGTTTGAGCCTTGGATGCCAAATCCTTGATGAATGTTCTACAATAAGAAAAAGTTAGAAGTAGACACACACAGAGGAAAAAAATCAGAGTGCTTTTCAAAAGATGATTATGTAGTCAAAGCCTGTGACCCTGCCGGACCCCTTTTTATATGCATTACTGTTTCCAAGAATAAAATGCTCTTGGATAAGTGATGGATAAAGAATACAGGCAGGTTGCAAAGATTACTATTAAATTAAAAAAATGAAATGTTGAACTTGGTAAAGAAATAATAAAATTAAATCCTGTTGTACATTTATTAACTATTTTTAAAAGTAAGATAATACTAGCAAAGAGGTATAAGAAAGCATATAAATATTGGACACAAACTTTAAATACATATTCTATTCTGGAAAGCAGAATACTATAGATTCACAAAAACATTTACATCTTTACTGAGCATTTTATTACTCCTAGAAATTCAGCCTAAGGATAAGAAGCAACAAAATGATCCCCTCAAAGTATGGTAAATTACAGTTGTAGTAGTTCCTAAGGAGGTATCTGCTGAAAATTATCATGATGACTACGACATGGAAAAAATTCAACAAAATTATATATTTATTGATGTAAATTATGTAAAATATATAAAAATATGGTTTAAAAACAACAAAATAAAATAGCCCATATAAAGGATGATAGTAGCAATGGAAACATGTTTTCACAACATTTATTACTGAAGTTTTATTTTACATGTACGGTTTAACTTCTCTACATAAAATTTAAAACAAAGTTTACATTTATGAAACACTAATACTGGATAAATTAAAAATTCCCACTTGTCACCTAATTATGGTTAAATCAAAACAGACTAGCTGTGACACAGACAGGAAATTAAATATTAACATTTTATTAGAACAAAAGATGCCTCAGAAACAAGTTCCACTATCCTGCTATCACTGTTTTCATCTTCAATGTGTTCCAAATGTATTAATTCGGACCTATTACAGACTATTATTGAAAAAAGACCTTAGCCAAATACAATTAGACTGAAGGAGCCCTAGACCTGTCTTGTCAGTATTGTTACTCCATCAACAACTTATTGAACATCTACTACACCCAGGGCACAGGTGTTGTGCCTCCATATGCTAAACAGTGGAACTTGGACCTATTAAACAAGCAATTCTACTCCTAGATCTAGCATCACAATCCAGTGATGAGTGTCCTACACAGATCCGCACAGCTTCAAGTAACTTAACACAGGCTACATTTCAGAGCGTAGCATGCACATGCCCAGTGCACATACGCATAAACTTCTTCAGTAAAAGTTACTGAATCTAAAAAAATTAAGCAAGCTTTTGCAGCATTATTTAAAAGTAAACAAACTACAGATAGTATACAATTAGCTTCAAAATGCTTAATAGACCTACTTCCAAATCTTCTAGCATCTTTCCACTTACAGCTGTTCTCCCCTATCTCTTTTTCACATGGTTTTAATTCTCAGGCTCTCTACACTTCAGAGAAAGTATATATTAGTACATCTGTATAAATTCAAATAGATCGATTACTATGTTCTCTTTTTTGAAATTTTTTTTTATTATGGTTCGATTTATTTCACTAGTTGGAAACCAACTTCAAATTATTCCTCTCCATTTAACTAACATGTCTGGAAGTGAAGAGGACGGGTGTTACCATTGAAAATCTGATTGGCCACTTCCCTGAGGGGAAAAAAAATTCTAAGCAGGTACCAGTCACTCTCATTTTTCATACCATTCCAACCACTTGACCTGGCTAAGGAGGCCCAAGAAGTGACAGAGGCCACAACCAACACAAAGCAAGGGGTACTCAGCCAGCCATTTGGTATTGCCCTCGGTGAATGATATTAAATTACTTCATGCATCTCACTCTCCAGTCATTTACAGAACACAGCTAAAACAGAAGTTTGAAGATGGCTAAGAAGAATTATACAACATGCAAGTAAAAGCAACAGGCAATCATTAAATCAACAACCTGATTATGAAATCAAATACAGTACAAGGATGGGCTATTCTTCTTTTGCTTATGCTTAGCTAAATTACACCAAAAAGTCTCAAATGTACAAGTGTTACAAGCTGATAAATGTAGTAGGTAAGAAAAAATAAGCCAGTTTTAAAATTTTCAGCCACATATAATCAGAAAGGTGAAAGTGGGGGGTGCGGAGCAGTAAAGCAGAGGGGAGAAGGATTACTGGAGCAGCAAAAATTATTCTTAACAAGCTTGTTCACGACTGAGATGGGGCAGGAGCCACAAGGATGTTGTTATAGCAACAAGTCACAACCTAAGAGACCACCACTCCTGGGCACGTGAGACTGCAGGCGCAGACATGCACCGCAAAGCCTGTGTGTTAGTTCAATCTTATCTCATTTGTGGAACCAAATGTTTCCTTGAGTTCTGTAAAGTATTTTTGTGCTGGATTTCCTTTCAACATTAACATCAGACTTCAAACTGCTCATCTCCATTAGCACATTGAGCCCAGCATTACATCATAAGAGGCACTTAATATAAAAGTGAGATGTTCAACTGTAGATTCTACTTATCTGTAGTTGCAATCACACCAGTCCAACTCCATGTCAAAGGCACTCTTAAGAGTTCATTTTCAGCTCCTCCTGCTTCTAGACATAAATGTAATTCTGACACAGAGAGAGGGCACAGCATGTCTGGTGTGGAATACTGAGCTGAACCTTGGGCTGCTGAGGCTGCTCTACCTGGTCTAATCCGACTTAACTCCAAAACGTACGAGTTCTTTGAGATTCTTCAGGTCAGACCTTCACCCACTTTTCTTAAAAAATTACAGTGAAGTGTAATAGCTATCCATATCTAACTGTGTTAAAGGAACATATCTTGACTTTTCCTTGATAATACTAATTTAAATACAAGAAGCAGAAGCTATGGGATGGGGAAGCAAACCATAAGAATGACATTAGCCACTTAGCAGTAAATTATCTCTTCCTTATTCAACCAGTGTGTAAACAAAGACTATCATCAAAGGCAAGCTACCTTCTCCTATAGTGCCTCACAACACCATAGCATCACTCATTTTCACACCCAGCTTGATTAAACGCAGAGAGATTAAGAACTCAGATTATATGGATAAATTCTAGCTCTACTACTTACAAGCTCTGGAACCTTGAGCCCAGCTAGTACCTTGGTTTCTGCTCATGTGTACATGAGGACAGTCATAATACGGACACCTCACAGGTTTGCTGTAATCATTTAATATGTGTGTAGCTGTACTTACTACACAGTAGGTATACACAAATGTTAGCTTTTCATTCTCTGATTTTTTGTTTTATTTGGGCCACAAAAAGAATTTCAGAAAATTCTCTGGGCCCAATTGTCTCATTTTACAAATCAATGCCAACGATGAGAATGGCTTTAGCAATGATCGCAGAATGGAGTTGAACAACACTCCGCATACAGCCAGTGGCCCAGTTTGGATCATCCCATTACAAATATGCTAAATTTGGGGACTTTTCATTAAAACGTGTCTGATGTCAACTACCCAACTTTTCTCCATCTGAAGTTAACTATTGTCCATTGCCATCCACTCACTATTAGTGAACCAGTGAACTCTGCTAAACTTACACTGGTTTCATTTAGACTGTTAAACAGCAGCCTCGGACACTGAGTCCCCAAGGGCTTTACACAGCTTACTGCATCAAATTCACACAGGCAATTGCACCGTGCACTTGTGGACACCAAACCCATCCCACCTTTGGATGCCTGGGTTTCACCGACAGTGTCTGTCCTAAGAGGTGAAGCCGGATTTAACGTCACAGCCCCTGCTTTTTCTAGTATGCAAAGGAAGCAGCTTTGGTGTGGCCCTCATCAAAATCTGCCAAACAATTCGCAACCCTCGATGTCAAACTACTTCAGTGTTTTTGACTGCTGATAAATCCCAGTCCCTCCGGACTGCGACAAACTTCACAAAAAGTGTGTTTTCATTTTAGACAGATACAAGCATTGCTCTGACCTGCTCTGGGGAGATTTAAATTCCACTGGAGCAAGGAACTGTTGGGCCAAATGAGGATTTAAAAGGAAGCTGGGTGCCCAGAGCGGTTGGCTACATTTTTAATCCATGCATACAGACACCAGAATACACAGGGTAGCTTCGGGGACCCTGGTGCTGGTACCATCTGAAATGCTCCTGTCATTCATATTGTTGCATCATAGTCTGAAACTGACCTATTACCTAACAAAAAATCTTGCTTTGCAGGAAAGCCACCTGCTTTCTCCTTTCCAATCCTCACCCTCGATGAAGAAGCCAACCTTGCCCCGAGAAGGCTGTCTCAGCCCCAGTGCACCGCTCCTTGGCCTCCCTCCCCACATCATCTTCCTCCTCCTGCCATCAGGGCTCCTGCAGGTCCCAGCAGGTCCTATTCCACCAGAATGCCCCATCCCGCTGTTCCCATTCCAGAGCGCGGGCGCGGAACTGGCGTCCCTCCCCGGACACAAGAGCAAAGGGCTGGAGAGCCGCGGCACTCCAGGATGCCGCTCGCGAGCGGCCGCTTCCCGCAGGAACCTCGGCGCCCTGGGCTCGGAAGCCGAGAAGCAGAGGTGGCGCAGGGGGTGTGCGGACAGCCAGGCCGCAGCCGCCCACCACACGCCCAGGCCCGAGGCCGCTCTCCCCGGCCCTGGGGGGCCGAGCCGCCGCCAGCCCGCCCCGCCCTCCGGGCCCTCGGCGGGGCCGACCCCGCACGGCCGGCCCGTCGCCGGCCGGCGGCCCCTCCGCTGCCCAGGTCGGCCCTCACCTTCCGCTTGAGGCGCCGGGAAGGGGAGGGATGGAGAGGACGCCTCAGGCCAGGAGACTTGAACCAACTGACACCGGCAGCTCCGCCCTTCCCGCCCACGGAGCGTGCGCCCGGAGACGAGTCCCGCCCGGTCCCGCCCCGCCGCCCGCCAGTCCCCCAGTCCTGCGCGGGAGCCGCCCCAATTGTCCTATCGCAAAGCCCCGCCGGCCACCGCTGCCATAACAGAAAGACACTGACATCCAATCAGAGCTGAGGCCTGCGTGGGCGGGTCTGGGGCAGCAGCCAATGACGGTACAGACGCGTACAGCCCGCCCTGGGGAAGCAGCTCTGGAGTCTCAGCAGGTGCCTGACAGCTGCAGACAGAAATCCGGATGGAAAATTCTGCCAACCCTCGGAAGGAGGTGATGGAAGGAAGACGCTGGACCAGAGAGGAGAAATCGGCCACATTCAGGAAAAGGGCATTTGCGGACTCAAAACACAAGACATTGCTACCTTCCTCAATTTCACAAACCTGCTTTTCCTCGTATTTTTAAATTTATGTTACATTTTTTAATTGCAAATTCGGAGCGCCCCTAAGTGTGCCGGTCCGTATTCGCTTCCCCAAACTATGGTTAAATCCACACTACCGCAGGTCATTTCATGATACTGCAGAATTTAGGGAATATCTTGAAAGTTCTTTAATATGGTCCAGCTCTTACCTTACCCTATTTGGTCCGCACAGCACCTGCAGGAACTGAAGCCCAGAGTGAGACATTTCTTGCTCAAGGTCATACGTGCTGTATGCCAGGCTCGGAATGTGATCTTCACGACTGTTCATAATCAAGTAGCACTTTACACAGCAGCAGCATCCTGCTCAGGGACCAAATAGGCACCGCAGCGAAGCAGCATTGTTTTGGCTTTTCGGCTGTGCCCCTGTTTCTTTTTGCTAATAGCAGAGCTTGTTGGAAAATAGCTTTAATCCCCTTAAGGCCTATGTATAACTCAGAGTTTCGGAATCAAACGATTCGCTGGGACTACAAAATTCAGTTTGAAGGAATGTGTTAAAATGCAATGGAGGCACTAAATGGTGGGAGAGCAGGCAGGGAGTCAAACCTAATAGGAGGAGTAGATGTGAGATGTGGGTCTTAAGATGCTGGCAATACCACGTGAGAGTTCCTGGTTTGGTTCCCCTTGTGGTGTCTGATCAACTTTCTGGCCCATGCAAGCCCCATATTGGCAGCAGGTAAGGGCTCAGAGTGCCTGAGCGTTGGGCACCTGCCACCAACAGGGGTGTTACAGGCTCCGGGCTTCCTCCTGGCTAAACCCCAGGTGTTTTGTAAATTTGAGGAGTGAACCAGGGAGTAGGTCTGTCTGTCTCTCTGCCTCTCAAATGTATAGCAAATAAAACACTTTTTAAAAAATGTTTACTTCCATTGGTAATCAGGGAAGTTCCTATTCAAGCAATGAGATAAAGGGATTGCTTCATCAACAAGATGACAAATCCTAGAAATGGTATGTAATTGCAATAATATAAAAATTGATCATACTGCAGTCATAACCCTTCCACAACCATATGGATAATTCAACCACTCACTAACTAATTTGTAAATCAGAGAAAATCAGGATACACAGCAAAGGTCCCATACTTGTCTGTACTTTTGTATCATCGGGAACCCTTCCAAAGAACTGGCTGCCCCCTGGACCAGGTGTATCACAGTCTCCCAAGATAGACACTGACATTATTACTTCCAGGACCTACAAGGGAGATTTCAGCAAAATACTGGCACCTGACCAATCCTAACAGCAAACTTAACCCACTAGAACATTCTACCCAATGACTCAAATAGATGTAGAACAGTCAACAAAATAGTCTCTATCATTTTAATAAAACAAATCTTAGCACCCTAAAACAAACCAAAACTACATAAATTATTTGCTCACATGCGAATGAAACTGGAGGTCAGTAACAGCAGGATATTTGTAAATCCTCAGGAAAGACAAACTATTCACTTCTAAGCCAATCATGTTCACGGGAAATCCACAACAGAAATCAGGATATAGTTTTAAATGAAAATGTAAATGTTTGTGGGAAGAAGCCAAGGCAGTTCTTACAAGGATTTTTAAAAACTATTATTTGGGCCTGGCACAATAGTGTAGTGGTTAAAGTCCTCGCCTTGCACCACCTGGGATCTCATGTGGGCGCCGGTTCTAATCCCGGCGGCCCCGCTTCCCATCCAGCTCCCTGCTTGTGGCCTGGGAAAGCAGTCGAGGACGGCCCAAAGCCTTGGGACCCTGCACCCATGTGGGAGACCTGGAAGAGGTTCCTGGTTCCTGGCTTTGGATCGGCACAGCACCAGCCATTGCAGTCACTTGGGGAGTGAACCGTCGGACGGAAGATCTTCCTCTCTGTCTCTCCTCCTCTCTGTATATCTGCCTTTCCAATATAAATAAATAAATCTAAAAAAAATAAAAACTATTATTTGTGAATAAGAGGAAAGAAAGATTGTAAATCAAGAACAGAAGTGTGTCCACATGATCTTGTTTTGTGATTTTTCATTAAAGGGGATGTAGAGTAACTGTAATAAGGACTGTCATATCCAGATGTGAAGATACGATGCAGTGTCTATCTGTACTTTCAAATCAAAGATGGACTCCCAATGAAATTATTAAATATATCTTGAGAATAGGATGCTGGGCTGTCAGTCATTGTTACATTCAGGACATCACTATGGATCCCACATGCATCAAAAGGTTAAACATAGGAATATGACGGACAAACAGGCCAGTAAATTTATCCTTTAAGCGAATGGACAATCCTCAAAGAAAGATACAAAAGTTCACTCAAAAAAAAATAGATGACATAAATAGCCCTATATTTTTGTTCCTAATACTTTTAAAAGATCTTTTTGTGTGAGGTAGAGCAAAACAGAAAGAGATGGAGAAACAAAGAGCCATCTCTCACCAACTCCGTGATACCCCCAAATGACTGAAGACAGCCAGGTTTGGGTCAAGCCCATTCTAAGAATCTGAAATTCTACCCTGGCCTCCCGGCGAGTGGTGGGGGTCCAAGCACTTGCTGTATCCTCCACTGCCTCCCCAGGCTGCACCAGCCGGAAGCTGGACTTAGAGCACAATAGCCAGAACTCGACCCAACTTTAGCACTGGTGTGTAGGATGCTGGTCCTGAAAGGGATGGCTTAACCTGAAGGTTTGGGGATGGG